ATATAAGTGCCTTCTTACTTCAAGAGTTGGGCGGGTTTCCCTCTTCCCTCCTCTTCATGGGGTGGGCGGAGACCCCAATCTACTTCCAACGCTTTCCTACTTCATTTTCCTACCCACTTCCGACCCACGGGTACAGCAGGTTCGCGTCATATCGACCGGCGGCGACCCCGCCCCTGGCGTTCAACGTTGAACGCCGCAGGCAACCCAGAATGGCATCGATGTTGATCGTTCTGACGTTTCGGAAGCGGCCGATTGTCCAAGGTTAAACGACCCCCGCGGTGTCAGGAACCAACGCCGAAGTCGGCACGACACGAACCTGCCGTACCACCGCTGGCGAGGGCCATCTTGGGCTCCACGATGGTGTGTGCACCCTCCTCGCCTCGGCCAGGAGGCGTATACTCCATACAAGGGCCCAGGAAGGCCCTTGCCAGACGCGGTGGTGGTACTTTGGCGCTTCCTGCTCAGGATTAAAAAAAATCGCACAGACACAATTAATCATCGATTCCTTAGAAAGTATGGGAAAATATGAGAAGTGGGGGGGAAGACAACAACCCAGAAAATATGGGAGAATATGGGGAATCCGGTTATTTGTATCTATTTATTTGTGTGTCCCTGGGCCCCTTCATCTGCGTGCGTCAGGAAGCCACTCGGGGCGAAGAGTCGGCCCTTGGGGAAAGCCCCAGGATCTCCAGGACCCGTTTCCTCTAGGGGCCAGGCGGCCAGGGCCCCTTTTTCGCTCGCGTGCGTGTCGAAGTCCTGTTCCTCCTCCCCCCGCCTCGTGCACGTCTCCCCCTCCAGGCCCCCTTCTTGCTCCTCCTCCTCCTCCTCCTCCTCCTCCTCGCCCCTCCCCTCTTGCTCCTCCTCCGCCTCCTCCGCCTCCCCAGACACCGGACGACATGATTTGTTTGATAAGCGGCCCCAGGGCCCCACAACGGCCCTTTAAAGGCCGAGATCAAGTAGAAGCGCCGGGAAGGAGGAGACCACATCCTCGGAGGTTCGCTTCTCCCCCCCCTCCCAGCCTCCCCCCCCGCCCAACGCCTCCCGCCGCTGTGGGTCGGCCGCCTGGACACGCCGCCTCTGGCGCTACCCTACCAGCACCTGATAGCGGCAGGACGCCGACGACAGGGCGTCAGCTGCGAAAGTCGGAGTGCGCCCCGTTCCCCCCTCCCATCGGTATCGTTTAACCAATCCCCATCCCCATCCCCATCCCCTTCGAGACCCCCACCAAATTACCCCTCCCCCCCCAGTTGGGGATACACCCCTCGAAACCCGAAGGGAACGACCTGTATTCCCATCTAGGGGGGTACATCGGCCAGTGCGGCCCAGGCCACGCCGCTGGGGATGGGGATCGGTTAAACGATACTCGTCCCCTCTCCCCAGACCCCTTCGAGGGACAAACTCGGCCAGGCTGAACTCGGCCCGAACCGAATTCAGCCTGAGCTCAGCCTGGCCGAGGTCAGCCGGCCGAGTTCAGCCTGGCCGAGTTCGCTTGGCCGAGTTCAGCTTGGCCGAGTTATTCCTGGCCGAGTTCAGTTGCCGCCTGCCTCTCCCCCTTCCTCGGAGCCCCTCGATTCGCGAAAGTTTCTGGTGACTTTCGGCTCCTGGGGGCCCTTGCCGGGCCCCGGGGTCGTCAGAAAGCGGCCCAGGATGAAAAGCCGGTCCTGGGCAACGGGTCGAAAGTTTGGGTGGTCCACCTTGCGAACAAAAAATCACGACCTCCGGGGGTCGGGGTCCTCTGCCCCCTTCTCGTCCTCCTCCTCGTCTCTCCGAGGAGGAAGATATACTGCTACGCTGCTACCCTTCCATCGTCGCCGCGGCGGATCGTGAACACAATCTGGCTCCTGATCATCGTCGCTGGCGGCTTCCCTTCTGGCTCCTGATCATGAACACATAATTTGGTAGAAAAAATTGCTCACACGAGCGGAATCGGAACCAGAGCCTGAACAAAACGGCGACGGAGCCGGAAAAAAGGAACATGGAACGTGACAAAAGAGTCGGAGGGACGCCAACAATACACCACCACCAACCTTGGCCAGGTACATCCAGGGCCCTGGACTGGTGCATCGACCTCCAGGCCAAGGCCAGGAGGGCCTGTACACCAGTCCAGGGCCAAGGATGGGCCTGGCCAGGGCTGGTGGTGGTGTATTGCTTGGAGCTCTCCTACAGAGGCCGCTTCCAAGGCCCACCAAAGTCTTCGGCCCTCCTTCCAGCCCCTGCTCACTCCCCTTGGCCGGCCCCTCCCCCCTCACCCTCGAGCCTCCGCCCTCCCCAAGAGGGGGAGGAGGAGGAGGAAGGGGATGAGGAGGAGGAGGAGGAGGAGGAGGAGGAGGAGGTGGACCAGTGCAAACCCAAGAGTCATCAACGATGTTGGAATGAACCATCCCTCCAAGCTCCCTCTTCATAGGCCCCTACACCGGTTCATTTCCACCGAGGGAACTGCCTCGTTGGAAGACAACCGTTTGAACACCCTGACGCATGCCAAGACATTGTTCTCTGGATTCCAACGCCACGAATCAACCTGACTGTTGCGTCTTGACGGTCGTGAATCGTGCCAGACCGCCACTTCTGGGACTTCCACACCGCGAATCAACGTAACTGTTGCACCCTCAATAATCCTGAGTCTTTCCTAAACGCCACTGTTGGTACGCTGATCACGCGAATCCGTGAAACTCTTGCCATTTTCGAAAACGAATGCGCGACGCTAAGGCGAGAGCCACATTTTGAAAAGGAACCGCCCTCAATCCGTGAAGCTCGTGCAAATGTTTTAAACGAATGTGCGCGGCGCTAAGGCGAACCACATTTTGGAAACCAAAACGAGTTTGCGCGGCGAGAATCACATTTTGAAAACGACCCGCCATCGATTTGTGAAATTGTTGCCAAGTTTAGAGCTTCAGGGGTCATTAATGGTGAGAAAGTCTCAGGCGAAATGCCCGGACCGCCCTCAAATTTAGTTTCGGGGTGCGACAGGGAGTTATTTATAAGGAATTGGAATGGAGGTGGAGGAGGAGGAGGAGCAGGAGGAGAAGGTGGAGGAGGAGGAATACAGGATACGATAGCATTGCGATTGCTTCGAGTCCGCCTTGCCAGGAGGACGAGGAGGAGGGGCAGTAGCAGGAGCAGGAGCAGGAGCAGGAGCAGGAGCAGGAAGAAGAGAGGAGGAGGAGGACGAAGAGGAGGAGGAGGAGGAGGAGGAGGAGGCGGAGGAGTGGCGCTGCTTGGGCACGGCGGAACTGAAGGGCAACGTTCCCAGACCCTCTCTCGTCGTGGAGAAATCACGACGGCAGTTTGGTTGGTCGTTTTTTTTATTTGGGGCCCTTACCAGGCCAGAACCGTCAACACATTCTTCAGGACCAGGCACCTGTCCCAGGGAATGGGTCGAGACCAACGGCGGGGGGTCCACGTTGCGCAAAAACCACGCACGACGTTGGGGGCAACAAAAAACAATCCTCGAGGCTGAACAGAAGCAAGATGGCGCCCTCGAGCTCAGCGTTTGGCGAAGGCACGCGATCGATTGGCAGCAAGTTGCAGGCGCGCCAACACACGCACTTGCAAGCAACACCAGCAGGTAGCAGGAGCAAACAGCAACAGCAGAACACGGCAGCAACGAACAGCAGCAGCATCAAGCACCAGCAACACAGACGCACATGTTTAAAGATCACACGCACCCGCTCAGGAATATGTTCCCACACGCCCCTGCGGATCGGCCGATCTTTTTTTAGGAGAAGGGAGGAGTAATGACAGGATGGGGACGGAGGGAAGAGGGGGGGGAGAGGGGAGAAGACAAGCTAGTGCGCTCGCGACATATCTGACATCCTATCCCTTCCTCCCATCTCTTCCGAGTGCGCTGTTGCTGTCTCTATCCGCGAACGCGTGTCCTAGCCAACCTGGAACTCCACTGAAGACCCTATCGTGCTATGCGCAATCGGAAGAGGGAAGCTGAATGCAAATTAGGAGGATGAGGAGGAGGAGGAGGAGGAGGAGGAGGAGGAGGAGGTGGTGACGGGTGAGCAGAAGGATGAGCAGGAAGAAAAGGAGGAGGGCGTTGAAGAAGGCGGACGATGACGATTAGCAGCAGCAGGAACTGTAGTGGAAGGAGTGGGAGGAGCAGGAGGGCCAGTGGAAGGCGGAGGAGGGCGAAGGTGAGCGGCAACGATGAAACGGACGCGGATGCAAATAGGTGGCCCGCGTGGGACGAGAGCGCCAGTTTGAACGATGGGAGCTGTAGCGCAGCGTCGATCCGAAAATGAGGCCCATGCTGCAGCGGGAACACCATTTCCGAAACATCGGCAACACTCATAGTGTTAAAGTACTTCGGACATGTCAAATCGGCCCAGCCCTGTGTATAAGAAGCAGCCCGTGGAGGTGGGGCGGGATATCTTCCGCACGGGGTCAGCGGAGAGAGGAGAGTAGTATTCATATGATGTAGCAGTGAACGAGTACAAGAGGAGAGGAGAGGAAGCAAGGATCGGATGAGGACGAGGATGAGGAGTAGAAGGCGGACAGGCAGAAAGAGAAGATGGCAAAAGAGGGGAAAACACACGGGAGGGAGAAGGAGTCAGAGAAGGTGTAGGAGCGAAGGAGCAACCTCACCAGGAGGGGGCAGGAGGGACGGAGGGAGGGAAGGGAGGGAGGGGATGAGAGAAGGATGAAGTGGGGGAGGAGAGAGGGAGGGGGGAGACAACCCAATGTGACATGGCATTACAACATGGGCTTCACGGTGATGCCACCGGCTGCTCCTCCTCCTCTTCCACCTCCTCCTGGCAAGTCAGATTCGAAGCCATCGCAATGCTATCGTATCGTACGCTCCTGCTTCTCTTTCTCCCCCTCCTCCTTCTCCTCCTCCCCCTCGTCCTCCTCCTCCTCCTCCTCCTCTTCCTCTTCCCCCTCCTCCTCCTCCTCCTCCTCCTCCTCCTCCTCCTCCTCCTCCTCCTCCTCCTCCTCCTCCTCCTCCCCCTTCTCCCCCTCCTGCCCCGTCGCGCCGGTCCCCTCCCGACGCGCAGGTCTTCCTCACGCCGAAGGCGCTCGGCGCGCGCCTGGGCTCGCCGCCTGTAAGCTCGGCGCCCGTGCCGCACCGCACGCTGCCCCCGGACGTGCCGGCAGCGGGGCGGTACGAGCCGGCGCTGTACGCCCGGAAGGCCGCCCGTCGCGGGCCCTCGAGTTCACCAGAACTCTGATTTTGCCGGCGCTTTCTGACGAGCCCGTCCTGTGGGGTGTGACGGTCCAGGCTTCGTGGTGTGTGCGTGTGCGTGCGTGCGTGCGTGCGTGCGTGCGTGCGTGCGTGCGTGCGTGTGCGTGCGTGTGCGTGCGTGCGCGTGCGTGCGTGCGTGTGCGTGTGCGTGCGTGTGCGTGTGCGTGTGCGTGCGTGCGTGCGTGCGTGCGTGCGTGCGTGCGTGCGTGCGCGTGTGCGTGCGCGTGCGTGCGTGCGTGCGTGCGTGCGTGTGCGTGCGTGTGCGTGCGTGTGCGTGCGTGTGCGTGCGTGTGCGTGCGTGTGCGTGCGTGTGCGTGCGTGTGCGTGTGTGCGTGCGTGCGTGCGTGCGTGCGTGTGTGTGTGTGTGTGTGTGTGCAGCAGGGGCATATTCTGAGAATAGCTAAATCCAGAGCTGCACCATAATTTGCTCTGGTCCTTCGTAGCTACCTCATGCGTCGGTGGCTGCCTGGGTCAGGCTGGTCCTGCTCGGGACCTTAGCTGCGACCCTGGTGCATAGAGCTTGCGTCAAATTTCAGGCTGGGTCTCGTCATTTGCCTGACGGCCTTGCCAGGCCGACCCGAGACGCCCGAGCCCGAGTCTCACGTCTGCCCGGCCTCGGGGGCCCAACTCTCAGACGACGTGTGTTTTTGTTCCCAGGTCGGATGTTCTCCCTGTTTGATATTCGGCCTCCTAGTTCGGCCTCTGGCGGCCGCCACAGGGCCCCGGGCCATCAAAACGAAGGCCTACACCCAGAGAAGGTCGGGGGCGGCCAAGAGGGGGTGATGACTAGGGGGGTGGATATCATGGCGTGGGCTATGATATTCCCTCAGATTTCATGGCGCCTCTTCTTCTTTCATTACGTCCCTGGGTGTTCCCCCCTGGGCCGCGCACATGCCGCCAGCCATGATTTGCGCCCCCCCTCTTTGACGCCCCCCTCTTGGCCGCCCCCGAGAAGGATCGGGACGTCTGGGGCCGCGGATTGACAGAAACAGATCGGCGGATGTCGGGGGGGGGGGCGGGGGGGGACAGTCCCCCTTACCGGGCTGCTTCGTCGCTCCTCTTGCGTGGCAGGGAGCCCGCCGTCCCTGGCATTGCGGGCAAGATGCATATACACATCCAATGCGTCTTGTCGGATATTGCCAGGACCCCTGGTACGAGGAGCCGGTGAGTGATTGGGCCCCGAAGCCCGAAAGATGAGCCAGAATCACCAAACCAGGTTTGCCGTAGTGGGTTTTTGTTCGGGTGGCGGCACTTCCAGTTATTGAAGTTTTGCGGGGGTGCGTCCCCCCACATATCGCTGAACCAGGTTCCACCAAACCCAGCCCTGGCAACGCCCGATCTTGGACTTTCTGGGACAGGGCGTCAAAAGGCCGAGGCGCAGTGGATATGGACGAAAGTCTACCTCCAGGGGCCAGATTTGTATCCATATCCGCTGCGCCTCTGGTTTCTGGGGACAGGAGCCCGAAACTCCAAGACGCAGTGGATATGGATGCAAATCTTGCCCGCAGGAAGGAGAGATCTAGGACCACTTTCGAACCCTTGGCCTACGTGTCCAATCGGCGCTGGGGGGTCGGAAACCCCAGCTGGGGTTCACTTAGCTTACTTTGCTTTCGACGTCCTTTAAATTCTGAATCCCAGCGGGTCTTCCAGAAATCTGACCTTGTCAGGCACGGTTCACACCTGGCTGCCTAGGAAGTTCGAAGGCATCTGAACGGTCGTCGAACGTCTCCGTAGGCTTCGGGACGAGGCCAGGGCCATTCCCAGGCCGCCCCCGGCAGTCGCGCTTCGCCGAGGACTTGCCAGGATTCGAGTCGTCGGCCAGAAAATTGGTTAGGCAATTGCTTGTGACCGCGCTTATTTCCCAACGTTCCTGTGGAGTTGGGTCCGCTCCCCGGCGGCAGCACAGGGAAAACGATCCTGTGCCGCGCATTTCCTTCCTTCCCCTTCCTGCTCCCGCCCCTTCTCCTGTTGCTGCTGCCGCTGCTGATCGTGCTGCGTTAACTGACTTCTGTCTCTGCTGCTGCTGCTGCTGCTGCACGCATGCCACTTCCAGCACACCCCTCAAGTATTTCGCCCCCTTAAAGATGGGGGCTCTAAGATGACCTCCAAAAGAGCCCCAAGTTGATATTAGTGGTTGATTTGGACAGATTTCCGAATGTGCCTTTGTTCGGCTTTCCAGCGCTGCAAGACGCCCAAAGAGGCCCGCGAGATCTCTCCAAGTCGGCCCAAGAAGCCCCCAAGCTGGCCCCAAGACGGCCCAAGACAGCTACAGGGTTACCCATCAGGTTCCTTGCCTGAAAGGGCTCCAAGACGCGCACACAGTGGCCGTCTGGAGAGCATAATGCTTCCGAGGCGCTCTTGGGCGGACACTGGGCACTCTTGGACCGTCTCGTTAGGCTCGGGGGGGGGACTCTTGGCCCTTGGTGCTCTCTGGCTTGTGGAAAAGTCCCGATGAACGTCCCAGGAACCATGCGAGCAGCCTCAGGAAATCTGGCATTTGGGACTCTTGGCCCCCGAAAAAGCATGACAATGTCTGATACAGAGGACTTGAAGGGACTAGAGGACACTCCGATTCAGAAAACAAAACCAAAGATGGCGCCTTGTCTATGCAGCGATGCCTAGTTACTCTTGCTCTTCGCGTGCGCTGGGCTTGCCCACTGTCAGCCGCCCACTTACCCCATAGCGTGTTGCCAGTGTGCCGCAATTGGGCAGTCGATGCCTTACTCGGAGTCGCATCGACACAATCTGCCGAAGCTTGATTACCTGAGAGACGAGATGCAGTGGGGAGGAGCAGGGGGAGGAACAGGAGAGTAGGAACAAGAAAAGACGACACCAGGGGCGCCAGGCTCCAAGGAGGGTCCTTCTGGTGGTGCGGCCCCCCCTCCCGCTCAAGACATCCCCTACCCCCACCTCGGGAAGACATTGTGGACCCCCTCGCTGGAGGTGGCCCCCCTGTGGTGGTGATGTCGCTTGTGGATCGGCAGGGAATGTCTGGCGTCGGGCCCGCGCCTCATGTCGCGGTCTGCCGCGAGGAGAACACGGATGGCCGTCTTCCCTCACTCGGCCCAGTCAGTCGAGCACGACGCTGGTCGAGAGCCACGGGAGCCACAAGAACGGTATGTTCTTTACTTGTTGTTCCTTCTCGTGATGTTGAGCCCTGAGGGGTCGCACCGTGCTTATGATCGACCCTGCCCAGATAAGGGGGGTAGAGGACGAAAAAGCAGCATAAGCATAACTTTCGGCGCTCCGCGCGGATTTCTTGCATCTGCGCTGGGCCAACCTGGCGGCGCCTCCGGCGCCGCCCCTGGCGCGTTCCGCGCGCCAGGGAGGGGGATCCAGCGCAGATCCAAGAAATTCGCGCGGAGCGCCGAAAGTTTGTGTTCATGCCGTTTTTTTGTTCCTCTGAGGCATTCCCTGCGGCGACGTTGGAGCGACTGCGGGCCACGACGCGTCAGCCGAGAGCTCCGCTGCGGCGGCCCTTGTCTCTCTTGCTCCTTTGCCCGTCGCCGAGCCGCGTGGGGTGCGGCCACGCCACGCGCGGCCGTTACGATTCACGCCGTGCTTAACCAGGCTCCTCGAGTCTCGATTGGTCGATCGACGATGACGGCGACTAGTCGATCGATCAATCGATTCATCGATCGGCGATAGATCAATCGATCAATCGATCGATCGAGTTTTCCTCCGAGTACCGATGGTCTTCCGCCGTGATCCCTCGTCGTCCTGCCTGCGTCCCCGCCGACAGGTCGAGTGCGCGGAGCAGGCGCACAATTTCGGGCACGTGGCCACGGTGGAGCAGTGCGACAAGCTGGTGTCAGCCACAGTTGAATGCGGTGCCGAAGCCCCCTCCTTGATCGCATGGGCATGGAAGTACATCATCTTGTATGTATTGCATCGAGGGAGGGGAGACGGACTTCGAGCACCTTCCTCGCCCATGCCGTGGTTTTTTTTGTTTACGCATGGTTGTTCTGCGTAGCCACACAGGTGCACACAGGTTAAGGGTTAAGGTAACCAGAGGAGCGCTGACTGCAAGTGATAGAGTCAGTACAATCGCAAATGAGCATGTGCACGTATACACGCACAATATCGAAGTCAAGCGCGCGTAGGTGTGTCTACAATTGTTGACTGTTTAGCGGCTCGCCACCCTCATCATCAAAGCTCTGCGAGCACAGCGTTTGCATTGCGTAATCGTCATCGTCATCATCCTCATTATCATCTCCGTAGCCATGAGTCATGTTGGCTCGAGCCAGGTCTCTTCACAACATGTTTTGAACCATTGAGGCCCGAGAGAGGCCGCCGGCGGCGCGACCGCGTGCTGCGGCGTCCAAAACCCACAGCCGCAGCCCTGCAGCAGCGCCTCAGTCTGGCCGAGGCCTCCCATGGGGGGGGCCAGTCGCCCTCACATGCTTTCGTGATGTGACAGATCACGACGGAAGGTTCTTGGCCGTTCTCGGCCTCTGGGGGCCTTGACCGGGCCCTGGGGCCGTCAAAAAATATGCCTGTCGAAAACCCCAGCCGTTTCTCAAAATGAGGCGACTATGAGCAGGACCGCTCAACGCACGAGAATACTTCAAGGGGAATGTGGTACCCCTGAACGCTTCGCCCGAAGCGTTGAACCACACTGAAGGCCTTCGGTGGAGCCCCCTTATGGGGGCGCGAAATGAGAGAGGGGTGCGCCGAAATGGAGGGGTCACTATGCAGACCCTGCCAGCGGTGCCGTCGGTGGAGCATCCTGGGAGCCGCGAAACGTGTGAAAGGTGCGCCGAAGTGGGGCGGGTAACCACCCGGACCCTGCCACTACCTTCGATGGAGCTCCCCATGGGGACACGAAACGAGTGAGGGGTGTGCTGAAACATAGGGCGGACAACTATGCGGACCGTGCCATTAGGGCCTTCGGTGGAGTTCCCGATGGGAGTACGAAACGTGTGAGGGCTGTCCCGAAGTTTGGCGGGTAACCACGCGGGCCCTGCCACGGAGCTCTTTGCTAGTTTGGGGCCGCGAATCGAGTGAGGGGTTTCCGAAACGGACATGCAGAAGGCAGAGCAAGGAGGAGGAGGACGAGGAAGAGGAAGAGGAGGAGGAGGAGGAGGAGGAAGTAGGAGAAGGAGGAACGTAAGGTTTGGGCCTAAGCGCGCGCGAGGGCATATTCGCTACTATACAAGTATCTGCCCTCACAGGTCTGGGTTCAGGCGAGCTTTGCGCCGCGGAGAGTGCTTCTGCGCTTCTTTTTCTCGCTGCAGCGAGTGAGCACGTACCAGTCGAGGCATCCTGGCACAGACGGGCGAGGCATCAGCGTTCATGGACCAGGACGTTCGTCAGATTGGGGAGAGCAGCGAGCTTGTTAGAAGGGCATCATTCTTCGCAGAGCAAACAGACGGTTCCTATGAGCTGGCGTAGAAATGGGTCCAGAGGAACAGCGTCGCGTCATGCCACAGGCTCACGGGCTTAGCGCTATTTTCAGTGGGACCCAGATGAGAGACCGTCTGCGCCGTGGCGAATGCAGCAGCCAAGCAGAGCCAAAGGCAAAGGTAAAGGAAAGTGCAGAGAAGACACAGACTGGGACTGGGAGCGGCGGGAGCGCGATCGCCAGCTTCCTGACGCCCCAGAGCCTACGTGGAAGTGTGGATTGCGTGTGGCTGCGCGAAGAACCTGGAAAGCATGGACCGACACAAGCACTGCCACCACAGTCGGGGACGGAGGCCGCGACGAGCTTCAAGCAGCTGGCGCTACGTGAAGATCCTACTGCTCCTGTCCCTGCAGGCATCCTGCGAACTCGGTCGTCTACGCCGACAGGGGGGCAATCAGTTGCAGGAGGCCGAGACTCCAGTCGAGAGGCAGGCGGAGCGCGGTTGCGACAGGTCAGCTTTGAAACAGATCGACAAGGTCGAGGCTCAGCGCCCTTCGTCATCGAGCAGGACTTGCAGCGCCTCATCGGATGCTTGGCGAAAGCTGGGGCTGCTGAGGGGGTTTCAAAGTATCGTGGCCATCTCCAGAAGCTCCAGGCGTCTCAGTTGGCTCCGCCCGCGCAAGGGCGTGCGACTCAAGTCCACGCCCGCATCCAACGATTGGAAAATACCTTCAGCGACGAGCTCGACAAGCTGGGGCGCTTGGGGAAGCAGGCTGAGCAGCAGAGACATGTCGCACGTGAAGTTCAAGCTGCACTCAGGGAGGCTGACGCTGAGCATCGCCACCCGGTCGCTGAGATCACCAAGGCTGGATGGATGCCTCTTGGTAAGGAGCCCTTGGTGGCAGCTAAGATGTGTATTGCCAAGGTGGTTGACGGCGCGGCAGCGGCCACCGATCTGTTCGACGTCGACAGCATTTTTGTCGACGTCGACGACCGCGCGCTGTCGCCAGAAGACGCCGAGCAGCTCGAGGACCGCAAGGAGGCGCTCAACGCACAGGCGCAAGGCATCAGAAAGGAGCTCGTCCAGAAGGCGCCGGAGGACATCCAGCGCAGTCGGGCTGAGCGTCAAAGCGTCAAGAGCATCTTGGGCGCCTGCAGCGGAGGCGTGCTCGAGTCGAGGAACTGGCCGCTCAACCTGCACGGGGCGCCCGACCGCTTGCCGCCAAGCGCTGCGGGAGAGCCCGCAGGCGCAGGCGCTGGGCCTGCCGCCGCTGGCCCCCCTGCCGCGCCGCCCGCCGCCGCCCCTGGAGCAGCCGCGGGAACCTCGGGCCCAGGACCCGCTGTTTCGGTTTCCTCGGGCTCCCCAGGATCCCAGGGGGAAGACGGCGGCGGGCCAGGCGCAGTCGTCGGCGGTGGCGCGCGGGGGCGCGCCGCTGCCGCGCTCAGCGGCAGCAGAGAGGGCCTGTGAGATGTCAATGTCTCGGGGGGGGGGGGGGGGGCGCCCGAGTCTCTTGCGCGATTCCCCCCTGGGCGGAACTTGGCTCGTCCAGGGGGGGGGCCTGCGAATCCTGTTTCACGCGCTACGAAGTGCTGTTGGCCGCCCAGAGGTCGGCAGCCCCTGCTATGCTGCGCGCTGCGGGGCGATGGCGGCCCCAGTTCTCGATCGCGGCCGACTTGTCCAGATATCTCTGCTGGTCTTCGGGCGAGGGGCCCGAGGGCGCCTGTGATTTACTTGATTCTCTGACTTCTGAGCCTGTAGATCTCCGCGGGCCCACTAAGGGCTGCATCTCGGGCAAGGGGTCTTCGAGCAGCCACCAGGGGCCACATGTTGAGCCACTGCGAGAGCAGGTGTCTGAACATTCCTCCGAACTAAGCCTGCCCCCACACCAGTTTTTTCAGCCAGCCGAGTTTAGGTCTAAGGCAGGAGGATCCCGGCGTGGCAAGGCAGTCTTCAAGCTCAAAACATGTAACGCTACTTCATGGCCCTCTATGCTACGGCATTTGGACAGGGAGACCGACGCGTCTGCGGCGCCGCTGCAGGAGTTCACTCTCGATTCCAGAGATAGGACCGACGGGGAGGCCAGAGTGCGAAGGTCTGGTTGGAACGCCTGCCTCCACCATTCCTACGTCACGGAGGGAGGGGGTCTCAGCTCGGGGGCGGGGGCGGCTGCGTTCACTCACAGAGGCATCCGTAAGCTGCCCCCGCACGAGGGCCTCCCGTGCCCCCCCGGATGCTGCCTCGCCTGGGCGAACGCGTTCGTCCTTGGCGGTTTTGCCGCAAACAGTATTTGTCCCCCGCAGGGTTCCTCGCCGGGAGAAGAGGGCACCGTCATTATTGCTCGAGCGGGCGGGGTTTTGCACTCTGCTGGCATGCCCTTTTTTTTGGCGGGCGATTGGCAGGTCCCAAGGAGTTAGCTGCATTTGGGTGGCCTCAGAAAGTAAGTGCATCATTGTTGCGCCAGACACGCCCACCTGCCAATCCAAGGCGCGCCGATGGAGGACGATCGACTAGTTCGTGAGTTCCAAGGGCCGAGAGCCTTGCGCGGCTAGCTGCGCGCGCAAGGAGACAGCTGCGACGTCACCGCATTGGCCTGTCAGCCTCACTTCGAAAGGTGACCCGTGGAGGCCGAGCACCGGGTGGTCACCAAGCCGAAGGCCCTGCCCAAGGAGATCTTCGCGGGCCCACGACCTCAGGCCCTTGACAACCAGCAGCTGCTCGAGAGGGCCCAAGCAAGAGGTGCTCCTGAGGATATTGATGGCTGCCTTGGATTTCTTGGCCCCCTTCGAGTCAGAGTTGCTAGACATGCATCAGGCTCGTGATCAGCCAAAGTATTGTGGCAGGTGTGAACAAAGAAAGCTCAAGCAGGTCGATCCACATCGCGCTTCAGGGGGCCGTTCCCGCTGGGTTGCCCCGAAAGCAGAGGTCGGCTAGGTTCCAGGAGCTGCAGCACATCAAGTTGCGTGCTGACAAGTTGGGTGGCATCGAAACCATCAGGCTTATCGATCGCATTCTCACAGGCCTAGGCGCGTTGCACAAGTCTCCCGACTGGTTGAGCTGGAAGCGGGCAGTACGGGGTGATCTTTTTACAGTCTCAGCAGCTGGGCTACATGCTCGGCACTTCGAAGCAGGACGCCTGGGCGACAAATTTGGAGAAGCGATTTTGTACACAAAAAGCAACCCAGTGGCGAAACTGGGTCGCGGATTCTGTCAAGGCGGGGGCTGGCCAGGCCCACCGGCGCGCCGGGGCTCCCATGGCCTGGGCCCCCAGCGAGTTGTTGGTCAAAGGCGGGGCCCCACCAGGCCCAGGGGTGGCCATGCAAGAACAGGCCAGAATCTGGAAGGACATCTGGAGGCCAGCCCATGAGCCGAGATGTTCTCCCAGCTGCGAGGGCGGCGGCCGAGATCCGCAAGGCCTCGCAGAAGTTTAAGCGCCGCACAGGTCTCTGTGCGGAGATGGTTCATCCCAAGGACGTGGGGCTGGTCTG